ACCTCAAACCCAGATTGATGTACCCAAAAAAAACCCTTTCAAAATTGATGGAGAAATAATATACTTCCATGACAAAGAGCACCTGAAGAAATTCATGACCACCAAACTAGCACTCCAAACATTCTGAAGATATTCTAGAAAGAAATGACAGGACTCTGACTCTATGAATCCCAACAGAATGAATTCACCAGGCAAGGCAAGTAATTAAACAAAGGAGAAAGAAAGGGAACCAACAATAGGAAAATAACATGACAAGGATAAGTCAATACATATCAGTTATTACCATCAATGTAAACCATCTCAACTCACCAATCAAAAGAAATAGACTGGCAGAATGGATTAAGAAACAAGATCCAATGGTGCTGCCATCTGCCTCGCAAGCTCCAGGACCTGAATTCTATCCCTCATTTAAAAAAAAACAATATCCAACAATATGCTGCATACAAGAAACATACTTAACTTAAAAAGAAATTCATAGATTGAAAGTCAAAGTATGGAAAACAATACTCCATGAGACAGGAACCCCAAAAGAAAGCATGGGTAGCTGTCCTACTTGCAGGCAAAGTGGATATCAATCTAAGACTGATCAAGAGAGACAAAATAGTTTACTATATGCTTGTTAAGGGAGCAATGCAAGAGGAAGCAATGCAATAATAAATATATATGTACCAAATATCAGCAAACTCAACTATATAAAACAAATATTAATGGACACAAAAAATCAAGTAAGCACTAATGCAATTATAACAGGGGGAACTCAAAACCCCACTGTCACAAATAGACAGGTCCAACTAGACAAAAAAATCAAAAAACAAGTATCAGAACTAAACCAAATTTTTGAACAAATGGATGTAGTAGATGTCTACAAAGTGTTCTAGCCCACAAGATCAGAATATACATTCTTCTCAGCTACACACAGGGTGTTCTCCAAAATACACCACATACTAGCTTATAAAACATACTTAAGTAGATGCAAAGGAATTGAAACTATCCCTTCCATATTATCAAACCATAGTGCAATGAAATTGGAAATCAATGGCAAAAGAAACCACAGAAACACAGAAGTTAAATAACACCCTCTTGAACAATGTGTCACAGGTGAAATTAAAGTAGAAATTAGTTTCTATAATTAAATGATAATGCCAGTACAACATACCAGAACTTATGGGATGCAATGAAAGCAATATTATGAGAAAAATTTATATCAGTAAATTCTCACGTCAGGAAAATAGTAAAAAAGCTCAAGTAAATAACCAAATGTTGAAACTTAAGGTTTTAGAAAAAGAAGAGTAAGTCAAGTCCAAAGCTCATACAAGTGAGGAAATTATAAAGATTAGATGAGAAATTAATGCAACTGAGACAAAGAAATCATTTCAAAGAATCAATGAAGCAAAGAGTTGATTCATTGAAAAACTAAATAAAATTGATAAACTCTTAGCCAATCTTATCATAAAAAGGAAAGAAAAGACTCAGATCCATGTAAATCGGAATGAAAAGGGTAAAATCACAACAAATTCTGCAGAACTACAGAACATCATTAATACTTTGAGACACTGTATTCTAATAAGATGGAAAACACAGAAGTGGATAAATTCCTAGATACACATGAATCACCAAAACTGAGTCAAGAAGATATATTCTAAATAAACCACCAAAGTCAATGAAATTGAAGATGTAATTTAAAATCTACCAGCAGAGAAAAGGCCAGATCCTGATGGATTCATTGCTGAAATCTACAAGAAATTTAGAGAAGATCGAATGCCACTACTCTTGAAATCCTAATGAAATTGAAAAGGAAGCAATAATCCCAAACTCATTACCCTTGTACCAAAACCAGCAAAGGAGCTAACCGTAAAAGAGAGCTACAGGCCAATCTCCCTAATGAACATAGATGCAAAAATCTTCAGTAAGATACTAGCAAACACAATGCAGCAAATTGTCAAAAAGATTACACACCATGACCAATTAGGATTCATCCCAAGAATGCAGGGATAGTTCGACATATGCAAATCAATAAATATAATACACTATATTAACAGAGCCAAGGACAAAAACCACATGATCATCTCAATAGAAAAAGCACTTGACAAAGTCCAATGCCCATTCATGATTAAAACCTTACAGAGAACTACAACAGATGCAACACAATCCCTGACTTGAAATTATACTGTTAAGTTACTGTGATAAAAACAGCATGGTCATGGCCCCCCAAAATAGACTCAAGTATTGATGAGACAGACTAAAAGATATAGAAACAACTCAAAATTATAGAATGGTACAACTGCAAACACATTCAACTATATTTGAAAAAGGGGCCAAACACCTTCACTGAAAGAAATAGGCTCTTTAATAAATATTGCTGGAAAACTGGCTTTCCACATGTCAAGGACAAAACTAGACCCATATCTCTCACCATGCACTAAACTAAAATAGAAATGGATCAAAGATCTAAATATTAAAACAGATACACTAAATATACTAGAAAATATAATAGGTAGAACTCTTGAAGACATAGGTGTAGACAAAGACTTTATGAGCAAAATCCCAGTCAAACAGGAAATATCACCAAGAATCAACAACTGGGAACTCACCTTATTAAAGAACTTTTACACAACCAAATAAACCAGCAAAGGAGTAAAAAGACAACCCACAGAGTAGGAAAAATGTTTTGTCAGCTGTTCTTCAGACAAGGGACTAATATCTAGAAAAAATTGTTTAAAAATCAGACCCCTCAAATTTAAAGACCCAGTGGAAAAATAAATAAATAAATACATAAAGACCCAGTCCAAAACTGAAATGAATAGACACTTCTCAGATGAAGAAGGAGAAATGGCAAATAAATATGTTTTTAAAAAGTTCAACATCACTGGTAATCTAAGAGTTGCACATTGAAACAACATTGAAATTCTATCTCACTCCAGACGAATGGCTGTTATCAAGAAACCAATCAATAACAAATGCTAGTGGGGCTATAGAGAGAACAGACCCCTTCTCCACTGTTGGTGGGCGTGCAGATAGATTGGTGCCACCACCATGGAAATCGGTGTGGAGAGTCCTCAATAAAAGTAAAACTAGAAGTTCCATTTGACCCAGCTATCCCCCTTCTTGGTATCTTTCCAAAAGAATTAAAAGCATTATTCCACTGTGATCTATGCATACTCATGTTTATAGCAGCACAATTTACAAAAGCTAAATCTTAGAAATATCTCAAATTCCCATTAGCAGATTGGACAGACAACGTACGCCATTTAATACAATGGAGTACTACTTTTCCATAAAGGATAAATAAGACATTTCTAGGTAACTGGATGCACCTTGAGAGCACACCTTTAAGTGAGATAAATCAGACACACATGTTTAAATATCACATTTTCTCTGGTGTGAGAAACTGAAAGTGTAAATAAGAACCAAAATGTGTAATAGATATTGTGAAATAGGAAGCAAATGTTCAAAATGGAAGAGGAACGAGGGAGGGAGGAGGAGAAAGGAAGGAAGGGAAAAGGAAAAAAGAAAACAGAAGAAAAAATAGAAACAAAGCTTTTTGTAAATAAGAAGGGGAAGAGACTCAGGGGAGAGGAGGAAAAGGGGATTAAAAAAAAGAATTGATATATATTATGTACAAGTACAAATTCCCTGTGGTGAATGTGATCCTTATGTATGTATATCTAAAGTGTATGATAAAATTAATTTTTAAAAAATAATTCTGTAATGATCCTCAAGATTTCAGTGGCATCTATAACAATGTCTTCCTTATCTGTATTTGAGTCTTCTCTCTCTTTATTTTGGCTAGTTTGGCTTAGAGTTTTTGCAATTTTGTTTTATCTCTTCAAAGAACCAGACCTTCAGATACACAGCAGACATCGGCATTCTTATCTCTCACAGCTTATCTGGAGGTTGTGTAGAGCCCACCACACACAACAGTGCTCTCACTGGGTTTGGTAGAGCAGATGCTGGGTGTCATAGGTTACGATGAGACTGAACCTCAATACCCAGGTCTCTGCTTTCTCATCGGATATATTTTGACAAGGCAACATCTTGCAAATGCAGTTCTAACAGCATTAATCAATAACTCCGGCTTTTAGCGACTGACTCTCCAGGGGGTCTCAAAGGGAAGGAGTGGTTAAATGTGATGGCCACTGCAACACTGGGCAAACCTAAAGTTCTCTTTAAGAAGTCTCTCTTACCAAAGGACACTCGTCCTAGCACCTGCTAGATCTCTTTCTAGATCTCCTTTACTGGTCCCCTCCCCAAGTCCAGTTTCCTGATCTAACTCTGGCATTCCTATCCCAGTCTCTTTACCTCTCCTGCTCTTCCCTTCCAGAGATGTCCTCCAGATCTTGTTTTTGTGCATATTCAATTATCCTGTCTTCACTGGCAGCCCCTAGAGGCTGTGGCTTCAGATCCAGAAGTTACAATCATACACTATGTAAATATCTATGAGAGTTGTGTTCCTGCCAAATAAACATGAAGACTATTTAGAGTGCAATTACTTGAATCCAATGCAGTAGAGGTCTGGTGGAAAATTGATGGGGGTGGTCACAGCCTCAAATCAGACGACATTTTGTTAAGTTGTACTTTGATTCCAAAAACAGTAAGCTGAAACACATCCCATTTATAGTGCATAGATTTGAGTTCTCTATCGGCATGGAAACTGTAAAACAGGATTTGACTTATTTTTCACAGCTTGAGGGGGAACAAACACCTGGAGGACTGTAGATCGCTTGTCTCAGCTAAAATCTTCGGTCTATTTGCAACAATGATGCATGAGCACGGGAAACCAAGGTGCATGACAGGGTGTGGCAGAGACCACGGAATGTTCCCCAGCCAGTATTTCCTTCTTACTTAGTGAAAACTGGGGACAGCAATGTCTAGATTTCCCTACATCTCTTTGCAGGTAGGAGTACTACATGATCGCGTTCTCAGCAATGGTATGCAAATACAAATTGTTGGGTAGTACCTCTGGGAAAGTCCCTCAAAGGAAAGGGATGAAGCTGACTCACCTTGGAAACTTTTTAGTTCTTCTTCCTTTCTTCTGGCTCTAATGACAGTGGTGTAGCTACTTTTAGGATGGAATCCACGTGCTGAGGATGATACAAAAAAATAAAAAACTAAACCAAGACCAGAACACTGAAAAAGTTAGATGTCAAATGCAGCGAGAGGGAGATGATGTTGCAGACGAAGGATAAACCTTGAAGTGGAAGGGACTCTGCATGACCCAGTGTGATTTTCCAAACCTATTGGAAGAATTCAATCTTGGCAAAAATTAGAGCGATTTTAGGTTGAAAAAAAATTTTCAAACCTATCATTATTTCATTTATCATTTTAGTGAGTTATTCTGTAACCAGCAATTAATCAAATTTCTAATACTTAGTAGATCAAATGCTAAAATTATTTCTTTAATGATGAAGGCACTTTTGTTCAATAAAAGTAAAAGTGAGGTTTGGGAAAATGAAGTAAAGAAAATATGTTATTAATGAATATTTTTCTACTTGCTGATAAGTAATTTTCTATGTTTAAAGTTTTAAATATTTGTAACATTTAAGAATATATGAAATACTGAAGTACTGAATAAATTAGTCATGAAATTCTAAAAATATGTAATATATAAGTGGCTTAAATTTACGGGAGGTTTTTGAGAGAAAAAATCAATATTTTATTTTAGCTTTAATGTGCATTTTATATATGATTCTCTAAACATTTTCTAATTACAAAGACATTTTTATTATAACCTAAACAGCTCTAAATATTCTACCTTGTTTGCTATTTCATAAGAACAGTATCTTTTCTCTGATATTCCGTGGATTTTGGATAACCTTGAAGTCATGGTCTGCATTTGTTATTTTTCCCTTCAGTTGTGTTTCCCATTTTTCTCTTTATTTAATAATGCCTATAAGCTCCCACCTTTTCTGTCTAGTGTCCAAAGAATAGAATCCATAGAATAGCCAGTTTCAGTAAGGGTATAAACCTCAGCTCTGCATTTATAGAAATGCCCAGTGTCATGCACAACAATATCTAGAGAAAAATGTATCATAACAGCATCAGAGTTCGAAAGCTCTGTTAGGAAACTTCTTTGGCTAGAGGGGGCAAGCATTCCAAGTGGCAGCACTGATATCGACCTCACTGATTTAGACAAATTCCCAGCACATCATCTATTTTCTTGACAAATAAATAAACCAAACCACTGTAGAATTGAGGGGGACTGTGTCCAGCACAATTGTAGCTTTAAGTGGAAAAATATAATCTTAGTGTTGTAAACTAACAGACATTATACTTATAGATGCAATTTCTTTGTGTGGTTAAGTACGTGAGAAGACCTATCTGTTGATGAGGAAATCAAACTTAGTACATTAAATGTATAAATGCACTTTTCTAGGAAATTTAATTAACTAGCTATAAAAAAGTTATCCTCTAAAAACTTTTTAAAATTTTATTCACACTAACTTACACTTTTAGCATTGTTTCTTGTTTTTCTTTTGTTGTTACTCTCAATACACTGAAAATATTGAAACCACAAGCATCAGAAAAACTTTGTGATTATCTCCAAGCCGCTCTCAAATCCACTCCAAAATACTGATACTCTCCTTAGATTATACCGATCAGCCTAACTAAGCAGTTCAAATAAAGAATTCTCTGTACAAGGCTGGTATCATGGAAATATTGAATACTTAAAACCTTAGTTTTTGCCCTTCAGAACTTTTTACTCAGTGAAATTACTGTAATTGTTTCAAAGAGGTTTTCAAAATCAGATTGGGTCATTTAGATACCTTCAATTTCAAATTTTGCCCTCATCCCTAATATTATCCTGTTCTTACTAAGTTCACATGGCTCCTCTCTGCCACTCCTTATTGTCATTTTTACTGACTCAGCCTAGGTTTGTCTGTCAAGTTCACATTAGATTTTAGAAGTAAAAGTCCTGACGGAAATGCATTAACAGGAATAGCTAGCAAGATGGCAAGTTCCCAGAGCTTTTTCTTAGTGAGTGCCACCAGATGTCACTCTTCTCCATAACAAAGATCAATGCTAGGGTAGCTTTACCTTCACAGCTCTTACGAGATCCTGGATTAGTTAGCAAGTCTGTGCCACAGTGGGAGACATTGTAAGCATCATCTGGGCATGACAGCTTCAACTTATTGTCCAGTATTCCTTTATCTCCCAAGTCGGCCAACATGGAAGCCTCAGGGCCATGCTCAGAACTTACTGTCTACTGTCTCCCGTACTGCACGGCTTACGAGCTCCTCTTGCTTGCACATGACCTCTAATTACAAATCCAAACTTTGGTTAATGGAGCACCTCACAACACCCAGCCAGTCCCCAGCAGGCCGTATCTCAGGTGCTAGCAAACTGCAAAGGGCCATTGTGTCATCCCCTTCATTCTGACACTGTGTACCCGGAGATAGCGTCAGATCTCACAGGTTGAGGCGTTAGTTTCCCAAGACTGTGCCACGCACAGCACACTCCAGATACCAATCACAAGTCACGGGTTGTTTTGTCTAATTTATGACAAATAGGCTATACATAAGGGTTTCCCTAATCTCCTCCTTGGGTTTGACTGCACACATCACGGGACTCGGGGATGGTTTACTGATTTCTCATAAAGGATGTCATGAAGGATGCAGAGAAAGAAATGCACGGTTGGGGTTTGGAGAGGGGGACCTAGAGCTGCTATGCCTTCTCCAGGTGAGCGTCCTCCAGGAATCAGAATTTTCATAGTTTCGGCTAGCCAGAACCTCCTAAATCCCTTCCTCTTGGGTTTTGATGGAGGCGCCATTACAGAGGCCATGGCTAATTAGCCAAGCTTTCAGCCCCTCTCTCCTTCCCTATAATCTTGCCTTGATGCTTCTAGGCATCAGCCCCACCCCTGAAGCTACCAAGGGGTTGTTAGGCATCAAATGACTCATTAGGATGCAGAAAGACACTATCACTTCCAGGATTCCAAGGAGTTGCTGTATATGTTAAGAAATGGGGTGAAGAACACAATATCACACCTATCAGGACTCTTTGTCCTTCTAGGAAATAATAGTTAGAAAATTAGCTATCAAGGGAAGTTGGGTTTCTAAAAAAAAAAAAAAAAAAGTGTTGCCAGTAGAGGGAGTTATTTGTCTTCCTATCTAGGGACTCACCTAACACTAACTCTGGCTTTGCAGAGAACATGCCCAGCTCTAAACGGCTTTGGTTTTCAATGGGTGATGCTAAGATTTTAAAGTCTTCTCCATAATATTCCTTCAACGTTGAAAGTGTCTATTGAGGACATGACAATGTGATAGGAATATATTCTTACTTATGAGATGTTATCAAAATATATGATGAATATTTTGATTTTTAAAATTCATTAATGTCAAGGATAAATTGCCATTAATGCTCCTCAAAATATTCCCCCTTGAGCTGGGCGTGGTAGCATATGCCTATAATCCCAGCATATGGGAGGCTGAAGCAGGAGGATCGCCACAAGTTCAAGGCCAGCCTGTGCTACATAGTGAGTTCAAGGCCAGCCTGAACCACGTAGCAAGACCCTATCTCAAAAAAAAAAAAAAAAAAAAAAATCTTCCTTGCTTTTTTTATCCCATCATTCTGGTCACTTTTGGAAACAGTTCTGAAAGTCCTTGTTTATGAGTGTCTTTACCAGATGTGTTCAGAAATAGAGTCAGTGTGGCTAAGTGCTATCCAAGAGGAAGATAGGTCTGTAAAAACATAACATGGGCCCTTATCCTCCTTATTCATCAGATCTGGCGCCAAGCAATCTCTGACTCATACCCAAATCAAAATTGACCATGAAAACATTTCCAGTTGATTCAGGACATCGAGGCAGCCACAACAGCACAACTAAAGATATGAAAGAGGACTGGAACTACATCATATGGCAAGAATAATGGACCGTGTCTGAAGAGAGGGGGATTATTGTGAAAGGGATTAGTGATAATGTTTTGTTTGCTATAATACATTTTAAAAGTTAAATATTCATCCTATTTTAGCATACTTCATATATATACATAAGCCAGTGACTGTGGTATTCATGGTGAAGGTGATCTCTTTCCTAATTATATTTTAAAAGGAGAGATTTCACCACACAACACAAAGGCAAATTTCCTTTGTATCTCTCTCCCACAAAATTGCACTTAGGATAGCAGTTTTTACTTCCAAAGCTCCTAAAAAAAACTCTGCTAATATTCTAGTTTTCCTTTCTTTCATTTTCATTTTCTCTTCTTCTACCTCTATTACTTCTCTCTTAATTTTATAATGTATATATACTTTGTGTTTTGCAGTTACCTCTGTGTCTTTCTCAAAGCAATAATCATTCCAGAAGACAAGTTAGGTAGAACTCTTGAAGACAATGGCATAGGAAAAGGCTTTATGAACAAATCCTTAGTAGCACGGGAACTAGCTCAAAAAATCAATAACTACCATCTTTTTAAAAAGCTTCTGCACTGCAAGAGAAATCACCAGCAAAGCTAAGTGACAACCCACAATGTGGGAAAAAAATTTTACCAGCTGTTCCTCAGACAAAGGTCTGCTATCTAGAATACATAAAGAACTCAAAAAAATCAGACCCCTCAAATGTAAAGACCCCATTCAAAAATGCACACCTGAAATGAACAGACATTTCTCAGACAAACAAGTAAGAGCAGCAAGTAAATATATGAAAAAATGTTCAACATTACTGGTCATTCCAGAGATGCAGGTGAAAACAATGCTGAGATTCCACCTCACCCCATAAAGAATGGCTGCTATCAAGAAATCAACAAATAATAAATATTGGCAGGGTTGTGGGGAGAAAGGAACCCTTCTTCATTGCTGATAGGAGTGCAGATTGGTACAACCACTGTGAAAATCAATATGGAGATATCAAAAAACTAGGGCAGGGGTAAGGGGAAAAAATGAGAATCAAGACTTGTCATGTAGAGGTACAAGATCCCAACAATGAATGTAACTGTACTGTATCCCTAAAATGTACCAATAAACTCAAAGCTGAAAAAAAAAAACCTAGGGTCAGAGGTCCCATTTGCTGGGACCCCTCTGTCGGTTATCTTTCCAAAAGAATTGAAAGTATCACACCACAGCAATATATAAACCCATGTTTATAGTG